CTAAATGGCATAGTGACCCTATTACCTGAACATTATCTACATTGCTAATATTAAGTTACATTATTCTGCCATTGAAAAATGCCATTTTTGATGTGCACTACCTCAATAACATTAATAACATCCTCTGTTGTCATGTTGTTTTGACAAAAGGGATATTTTAATTTTGCAGAAATGTTGGCATTCATTAAATGAGTAATAGTGAGTAGGGGATTACAGCACTTGATTCTGGGTCCTCCTTTCAATAATTCTGTGGATTTTTAATGCTGCTGAGTAGAATTATAAAGGTACATAAGGAAAATGTTTGTCATTATTAAAAGCCATCTTAACTGTTCTTCATGTGTTGTGTATTTGTTTTAGCTTTTTTTCTGTACAAAATTTCTGTGAAAAATGTAAAATCATGCCTGTGATATGAAAACCCTCCTGAGACAGGCATTGCGTACACATTTCTGTGCTGTGGCTCAGAGAAGGAACTTAAGGCCTTTGTTCAGACATAGTTTAGCTGAGTAATGGTGTGTGAATGTGGCTGGGGTTGTTATAAAAGTAGTATTGGAACAGGATCAGCCATATCTGATTTCCCAAAAGGAAAGTGATATAATAAAGGGTAAAGACAACATAAAGATTATCTCAGTCTGTCCTTCATTAGGCTACAGTTTAGCTTTGCTGTAGGATGTTCATCTGCTGGAACCAAATATAGTAACTGATCTTTTGTTTCACAGCCATGAATATGTAATGGCTCTTGAGCATCACAGCTACAAGGTGTTCAYTCTTGCTCCAGATGAGGGAGTAGGTTGTGATTCTCCACCTTCAGTTGCTGGTTGGTTGCTTCAAGATCTCTTTCTCTGGAGAAACTTCCTCAAACAGATCAAGGTTAGAACAACACTTTCCTTCTCTCCATTCCCACACAGGCACCGCTGCCAGTGCAGTGCCTCATATCAGAGCACATCTAATAAAAAAGGGTTTCCATGCCTGCAGCAAAGTTCATTGATTTCTGCCTGCAAGTTGTGAGATGTAGCACAGTGCTGCTGTCCAACCCCTCAGCAAGTTATTCTGATCTGTTTTTTGTACACTGACTTATCTTTYATTTGTGAACTCATGAATCCCTGCACAGCACATCTTCCCTTTGCAGAGTATGTAGAGAACAATAAGCYTGATTTGGCCACAAAACAGGGACGTGTACTCAGGCTATTGTCTGACATTTTTTCATACAAAGTCATTTTCCAGTAATGCCCTGTTGTTTCCAGTGTGGGTGTATTCTAGGAACCCCCAGACTTAAMATTTTACTGCTTCAAGAATCAGGGAGGGTTATTGAAGCTGAGATTGAAGGTTATTGAAGTCTTGGCCAAACCAGCACYTACCTTTCAGCGTGTCGATATCGTAGAAAGCAGCAGCAAACCTGGTGGARCGATGTGAAGCAGAGCGGGAGTCTAAGTTGGCCAGGCTCTTGAGTTTTAGCCTGCACTTCCACAGCTTCCAGTCCTCRGAGTGGGTGATGTGAAGCAGCTCTTCCAGGCTGGATGCTCTCCTAATCTGCTGTTCTGACCTCTCCAGTGCTGACAGAGATGTCCTCTGGAAGGAAAGGGGTGAGTCAGAAAGCCAGAGCTTTACAGCCTGTACCCAGTGCAGCACAGGGAGCATCACAACCAAAAGGGAGCACTGAGGACACCTGAGAGCACCTGGGAAAACAGCAGCACACAGACATGTCCCAGGCTTTCACAGTGCCCAGCACCAGAACGATCTGCAGGATTTGTGCCCACATAAATTGGGAAGAGATCATTCTCACCTTCTTCATGACAGCCCTCAGAGCTGTTTGACAAATGCAGTTTTTACTGTGTCCCTGGTCTCCAGGGAACGTGGTGACACTGATCACATCAGTGCGGTGCCTGAGCTGGCCAGTCGTGCCACAGTGAATGCCAGCTCACCCTGCAGGCAACCTGAGGAGTTCAGCTGTGAKCCCAGCCCATGTGCCTCTACAACAAACCACCTCGGGTGCCAAAACCCTGGGTCCAGCCATGAGACAGCACTGCAGGGCCAGCTGATACAGCTGGAAACTGCACTAAATATGAGGGTCCATCCACATGGCAGGCAAACACAACATTCYACRTGCTGCAGAGTGCAGRATGCATCTGCCATCTCCCATTCTGACTGCTGTGGGTCATGCCCGTGTCCAGCCTCAGGGCTGTGGCTGTGCAGCAGCATTAGCACAGTCACTGCATTTTCCACCTGTGGGATGTTCCTGACCACTCCACTTCCATTGGAGAAAACCACCTACAAAGACCCACCCCATCACTTTGAAGTTAACATTCACTTTCAAAATAGCTGTTTAACACTTAATATTGCACAGCATCCCTTAACAATACTGCTTTCTTTGGCTGCTGCTTTCTGACATCTGTGTTTGTGCCTTTATCAAGGCATTGAGTATTAATTTCCACTGACTCACCAGATCTGCTGAAAGCATTGTCTCCAACCCAAGTAAGAGGTTATCTTTGTAAATGTCTGTGTTGCACTGGGCTGCTGCTCTCTCAGCTCTCTCTCACTCTCTGGTCATACAGTGAACTGTATTTTTTGATTTGCAAATAAAGGGCTGCAGTGCCAGCTGTCATAAATAAAGTTCCARCTGTTTAAAGCAAAGCTGTAGCACAAGAGGCTGTAACTGAGGTGTGCAGCAGACAGCAGGCTGAACCAGTAGTGAGTGAGTGCTGTGTGTAGGACTGGGGAAGGGGTGGGGGAAAGGGCCACCTATAACAGGAAGAGTTTTAGATGAGATCTGAAATCCAAGCACTGTGTGCATCTGTTACTTGTTACAAAAACATCTGTGGCATTTATTTTGCAACAATACAGATGTTAGCCCGCACACATGGGCCAAGTTCGTTTTTGGGTAATTACCTCCCACTGACCTAAAATTCCCTAAGTAGTTAACTCAGAAAAAGTTGTTTGCTGTCCTTTCATGCCCATACAGAACATTACATTGTGCTCTAGCAAGCTGCCATGGTTCATTATGGAGATGGCTGCTTCGTAGGTGAATGATTCCTCATGCATTTCATATGTGGTGAAAACTGGAAATCCCATCTCAATACTGACGGACACAGAGCTCAGAAGGAATGTGAACACTTAGCACCAGTAACTGAATTTCAAGACAGTTTTACAAACAATATTCCCAGAATTTTGCTGATCCAGGAAAGCTGAAATTCAGCTTGAGKTCAATGCGTCAAGACTTATTTGTTCTAAGAACCGCAGCTTATGTTCGCTCCCATTCACAAACTGTCTCCTTGCTCTTGCAAAACATGTGAGTGTGGGACCAGCACTGGCATGGTAATGGAACTAAAGATATCAAAACTGAACTCTATTAAGCATTAACTTTTTCCCTCTCTCTCTGTGGTAAAAAAAATATGTTCTAGCTGAATCAGCATCCCAGTTTTCTAAACCAGACTGAATTTACAGAGAACCTGTAAAATGAGATGATAGCATTCTGTAACTTAGAAGATATATCCCTGCACTTCTTGTAAGAGTCAGCAGTTTGAGGCAAATAGCTTCTCARTTTCTTTTACTTATATATCAAGAGGCTTAATTAGTCATAGAATCAGAATTGTTAAGSTTGGAAAGACCTCTAATATCATCAAGACCAGCCATCAATCCAGAAATACCACTGTTTTCACCACTAAACCAAGTGGTCATTATATGAGCAAAATAAGGTTTAAACATAAGATGAATGACTACAGAAAAAGTAGCAATGCCTCCTCATGGTTGGAAAAGATCCGTGATTTTATCTAAAGAAATGATTTGTATTGTTTTAAGGACTTTTTGAGTTTTAAAGCTATATAAATTCCATAATGTGGACAGAATTCACTGAAATTAACAAACTTTATGCCTTCACAAGTACTACTGTGTAGAAGGGTCATTAGTAGAGGTCATTTCCATACCAAAAAAATGCATCCCCAGTAGGATTTGAATCTTGATAATTAAAAAAAACCCTCTGATAATGATGCCTAATAGTGGCACTGACAAAGCCTGACTGTGTATTCAGGTTGCTCCTTCTCTTATTGCTTTTCATATATTTGAAATTGGAAGATGTGGTCAAAGGAAATTCTGCTCACTGCAGAATTGCTTCTGCAGTCACCAGAAATTAATCCTAATTAAGTAAACCATGATTATCCAGAATTCACAGTCACCACTTCTCTGTCAGATCCAGCTCTGCTCAGCATTGCCTGAGCTACTCAACCCTGAAGTGAACCTGTTGCCCCTTCTCTTTTCATGTTTCCTAACACCTATTCAAGCTCTGCAGTGTGATGGGATTACCTGTTGTCTGCCATGATAACCAAAAATAATTTTATTCCTTCYTCTTATATTTGACTTCTTCCTAGACAGACTACTTAGTCTTGCTAAGTGTCAGAACAGGAACAGTGAAAAGCCCCTTATGTGTTTCTTTTGATTCATTTGAGAATCCACATCTCTCAAAGAGATGTAGTATCTACAATGCTTTATCTAAAACTTTGTTCTAAACACTTGTTGTAGCAACACATCAGATTGTTCAGCAACCAGAAGGACACCCTCATCCTGATACACTTTGACCACAGACGTGGCTGTCCACAAGTTAAAAGCATTCAAAAGTAAAAGCTTAAAAAATGAAAAGTGTAGAAATTGCATCAGCTCCATGAGCAGGACAAAGCCCTGTAGCCTGAACTGTTTCTGCTGGGCACATTCATCCTACAGCACAACAGCACCAACAGAGCATTGTCATGGAGTCTTTCCAAAGCATTCATTTCTGGTCATCCTACTTTGAGAAGAACAGCACCAAATAAAAACAGAAAACCTCTTACAATCTCAGATAATGCCAAGGACAAAGTGTCACAGGGCACCATGCAGATGTGGAGAGTTCTTTCACTCTTCTTTCACATACTGTTTAAATTCAAGCCCTGCTTAGATATASACATACTCTGGCTGACTGAAAAGACCCACTTAGAAGAGCACAGCTTTGGACAGAAGTGTGAATAAATGTTTCAAAATATGAAACTGGAGGAGGGTGTTAAATCAACAGTCCCAAACATACCTGTCTTTTGTGGTCTAGGACTTTATTCCCTCTAACTGTGACAGCAAGTGGACAGAAGTTAAAACTAGCCTTTGAACAGGAGAGGAGCTCCTCACTCAGCCACAGAGCAGGGGAAAGATGCACAGATGTCAAACTGGCATTTCACTGACATTTCTGGGAGATCCAGCTCCTCACAAAAACCAAGAGGAACAGAACTATTCACTGTAGACATCCACACATGCTGTTTCCTACTTTTCAGATATCTCTACCTTCCTTTTCAGACTTTCTCTGATAACTACAATCCTTCCTTTCAAGTTCCCTTCYCATTCTCCACTCTCTCAACATCTTGAACTGCTTGGATCCCACTGTGCTTTTATGTTGCTTATTTTCACTTCTTTCCCTTATTCTGCTAGGTGGGAGTGTAATGAAAACTTTCTCAGGCTGAGTTGCTCAGCCTCCTGGTCCAGAGGAACATCCATTATTTTCCCTTCCATGCCCTCCTCCAACTTCTCTTTTCATTGACACAGATTTTAGGTGCCCATTGACACAGCTGAGGTGAGCTGTCACCATTGTGGAAGTTGTTGTTTGTAATAATTGCAACCAAGACAGGGAGCAGAAATTCACTGCATTTGGCAGGGTACACATAAGTAACAGAGTTACGAACTCTGGCCCCAAAAAGTTAAAATATGCATTAAGACTTGAGAGAAAAAACAATTAGAGAAGGACACATTGGGAAAAGGCCATGGCAATGTCCTTTGCATGCTCCTAAAATGAAAAAGTTACCTGTGGTGCCATGTCACTGGAAAGTTCCAAATGTCCTAAACCTTCAGCACCCATAAATGTACACCCCAAAGTCCACGAAAGACATGATGCTATTGCTGTGAGAAATGTTTGAGTAGAATTTATCAATAACAAAGTAGTAGGTTTAAGTACTTMATTCTCATCTCCTCATCTTGCTGCTGCTCCTAATGTCATTTTTCTAAGTATCTTATCTAAAAATTGATTCCATACCCCAAGATAAAAACCAGATTCATAATTAAATGAAGTTGCATGTTTTTCAAAACAYTGACCTCTCATATGTTCTAAAATTATTCTTCAATTCAAAGAGGAATATCTGTTTTYCTCTATTTTGGCTATGAACAATATCATCAGGAAATGATAACGCCTGTTAGCATTRTGATTTTTGGATATTTACAGCTTTTGTCCTTCCAAAAGAAACCATATTGGGCTATCTGTCTTCTCCTAGCAATCTTAGATGCCAGAAAAACCCTAAAAGTAATCAGCATTGGAAAGAAACAAGAGAAGAAGCAGTGATACATCCAGTGGCCTTTCCACCTTGGACACTGACTGAAATAACAGGCTGAGTTCATTTCCCCACTGATTTATGCTGGTCCAATGTTTAGTTTATGCAGCACGTCAGACAGATGCACAATCCCACAGACAGCCTGCACTGTTCAAACTGGGCTCCTTGYTGGGTGTTAGCACTGGCCACATCCTACTGGGGCTGCAGCTCTGCAGCTTGCACCTCTGCTCCATCCTTGAC